GACAGTATTAGATCTTTCGTTTTTGCTGACATCATCATTTTTCTTCTTTTAAAAAATAATAATAATTCTTGTTAAACAGAATATTTTGGGAGTCAACAAAATTTGAAGGAGTTACAGATTTAGAAGAGCCCTGGTATGGAACCAAATATTCTGTGGAGCGTTTACCTGGCTCCACCATTGAGGTTTGTAGCTCTCTTAAAGCCTTCTCCCAATTTAAATCTCTCTAGAATATTTCGTTTGGTGATATTTTGTGACATTGTAAACGTGCAGCAATGGATTAAAAGAGCTCCAAGTGAAGATCTACACCTACCCAAGCCTAACATGTTTATTCCAACTGATCTATCCATTGTGACAGTTACCGAGCAAGTAAGCTATTTGCTGTTAACTTCAAAATATTGCCATCTGTGGGTTGTCTTGACAGTCCATACAGAATCTAATTTTTTTACGGTGGTGTTTCGAACAGAGGAAGATACCGATTTTGTTGAGGAAAACACAATACTCAAGGCTGTGGTACAAGCCGGATACGGCATTTCTTACTCCTAAGGCATATGTGAAGATAGATTTCAACTGTCCATTTTCTGGAAGCTCCCCAGAATCGGAAGCCCTTACTGAAATATTTACGCGTTTGCTAATGGACTACTTAAATGAATATGGTACTTTTTTTCCTCCAGTGATTTGCATAGTGTGGAAAAGCTGTGATTGTGTATCAATCATTAATTAAGTACTTCTTTTACTTGATGGTGGCTTTGTATCTATGTTGACTGTTACATTTCTTCGTGAAATAATTGCAGGCACTCACCTTACTTTCACCTTCTTTTTTTTGTTAATTTTACTCCTAAAAGTGATTGATTATTATTTCTTTCTTTCTTTCTTTCTTTCTTTCTTTCTTTTTTATTACTGGCATATTTCAGCATATGATGCCCAGGTTGCTGGTCTTTATTACGGAGTTAGCAATACCACCTTTGGTTTTCAGGTACTTATGAGTGTATATTTAACTATACTCAAGTGGGTTGTGATCAACATTTCTTATTTGCTTTCAATATATTTCTCGATTTATTTAAAAAAGATATAGTTATTTGCCTGGCTTGTAATTAAATTAAAAATTGGAATTAAATTAAAAATTGGAATCTGCTTTCTTTTCTGATTGCATTCGCTTTTTTTCCTTCTTTCTTTCCTTTCTTTGTCTCCCTTTTCCTTTCCTTTTTCTGTTTTGTTTTGTTTAAATGAGCTCTTACTACTACAACAACTAGACACGCTTTGTCTCACATAATGATTTCAAGGTTCTTTAACTGTGTAGTCCACTCTATCCGTTATTTCTGTTCTTCCCTTGCAGGTTACCGTGGTCGGATATAATCACAAATTGAAGCTCTTACTACATACTGTAATAAATCAAATCGCTAAATTTGAAGTAAAACCCGAAAGATTTGCTGTTATTAAGGTACAAATTTACTGTGTTCTTTTTTTTTTTTTGACTAAGAGCTGTTTGTAAATTCTCTGTTTTGTCCCTTGGTGCATTTGTCATGAATATACACAGGAATTGGTCACGAAAGAGTATCAGAATTTGAAGTTCCAACAGCCATATCAACAAGCTATGTACTACTGCTCATTAATACTAGAAGACCAAGCGTGGCCTTGGGCTGATGTACTTGAAGTTCTTCCCAATCTTCAAGCCGAGGATCTCGTTAAATTTTATCCTTTAATGCTATCAAGGACCTTCTTGGAATGCTATGCAGCAGGTTATACTTCTCCTATAATTCCCAGGATTTTCGTCAGATGTTCAAGGCTCACATATAATGTAGTGATGTTATGTATTTACATATTATATATGTTCCTTATTTTCTTGTTGCTTGTATATAGGAAATCTCAAGGCGACTGAAGCAGAGTCAATGATCCAGGATATTGAAGATGTGTTCTTTAACGGTCCTAATCTGTTGTCTAAGGCTTTATTTCCGTCTCAGTATATGACAAATAGAATTATTAAGCTCGAGACTGGAGTAAATTGCATCTACAGTGCTGATGGCCTAAATTCTAGTGACGAAAATTCTGCCCTTGTTCATTACATTCAGGTAAGTGAGTAATAAATGACTTGCAATGTTACAGTGATTTAGAGATCTCACATTTTACACCAACCAATTGTTTTTTTGTCAATTCAAAGTTATCTATCAATAAAAGGAAAACGCTACAAGAAACCTTACATCATGTATTCTTATAATATTACTCACTCCATTCAGTTCTTACCCTGCTGTATGTGCATTTTAACGTTACTGTTTTTTAAAAAATATGTAGGTTCACCAGGATGATTTCAAGCTGAACGCTAAGGTTCAACTTTTTGCTTTGATAGCCAAGCAACCTGCTTTTCACCAGCTTAGATCAGTCGAGCAACTTGGTTATATCACTGTTCTTATGCAGCGGTAGGATTTTTTCTATTCAAGTTATTGTCATTACATTAAATTGTGCTCATCTTAGTTTATTCATTTATTTTCTGTATAATTGCTTTACTGAAGGAATGATTCTGGTGTCCGTGGCGTGCAATTTATTATACAATCAACTGTCAAGGTATGTTGTATCACCACTTTATTCATGATATTTTTTGGGGGTAATTTAGCTGCCACTCATCTGTCACTCTTTATCGTGCTTGATGATAGGGTCCTGGGCAAATTGATTCTAGAGTGGAGTCGTTTCTAAAGATGTTCGAAACCAAGCTCTATGGAATGCCAAGGGAAGAATTCAAGGTATTTTTTTTTTTTTCAAGGTATATGTTGACTGCAAGCATACAATTCATTTGCACATACGCTTCATAAGTGGGGGCTGTTGCACAGTTGGATCATGATAATGGTAGTGGAAAATTCTCCAAAACCGAAAAACATACATTTACCTTCAATGTTTAGCATTTCATCGAGTACTATGAATATGAAGTTTTTGGTTTTGATTCTTGATGGGACTAGTGGCTGATTGGCTTCTCTGTATTTTCCGCAGAGTAATGTCAATGCGCTAATCGAGTTGAAGCTTGAGAAGCACAAGAATTTGCGAGAGGAATCTATATTTTACTGGCGAGAAATATCAGACGGGACCCTCAAATTCGACCGGAGGGAACGCGAGGTACGGCGCAATATTTATTATTAGTCAGCGACACAGTAAGTATAACTGATTTTATCGAATTTCTTAAAAAATATACCATTCCCAGTTGGTAAAAAGAGCTAGGACTAAGATTGCATATAGTTAAGGACCATTTTATAAAAACCATATATTTTATAGGACAAAAATTTGAATGTTCGTAAATACGGGACTAGTTTGCTACCGCCCCTAAAAATAACCGTGCATTTTGAGTTGTCTCATCGATACTTGCTATACTTGGATATAAACAGGTGGAAGCCCTCAAACAACTCTCCCAAGAAGAATTGATCGACTTCTTCAACGAGTATATTAAATTCGGTGCTCCCAACAAGAAGAGCTTGAGCGTGCGCGTGTATGGGAATGCACATTCTTCACAGCACCAAGAGGACAATGCTCAGATTTCAGTCTCTAATACTGTCAAAATAGAAGATATCTTCACTTTCAGAAGGTCTCGCCCTCTTTACGGTTCGTTTAGAGGAGGTTTTGGCCACTTGAAGCTGTGAGATATTGAGACATTGGTGAAAATGGGTATATAATCCCTCGGGAGGGGTATTTCGGTAAATGACTTGAGGGAGCTGGACAGCATGGAATAAAAAACGGGGGACTGATGTTACATTTGGAATTATTTTTTATATCCAGACTAGTTTTTACCAAAGGTTTAAATTACGAAGAAGCTTGCTTTAAGTGTTCCGAATTGCATCATTTATGAGGAAACATATCGGTAGCTTAGAACCTTTTCTTCTTCACGGTTCTCTTGGGCGTTTGGGAAGTTCCAGTATGCGGCTGGGGCAGATAACATCCATGAAAACTCAAATCAGTATTTTACATTCTAAATTATGAAATATAGCCAAGAAAAGAGTGAACGAAAAGCTGAAATAGAAGTTCCAGTATGCGGCTGGGGCAGATAACATCCATGAAAATTCAAATCAGTATTTTACATTCTAAATTATGAAATATAGCCAAGAAAAGAGTGAACGAAAAGCTGAAATATCACTAAACGCGAGGCTTCAAAGACTTCGATTCAGTTTCGATTCAACCACACACTAAGAAGTAGTTGTAGGCACGTCAAATTCGATCTTATGAATGTTGGGAGTGTAGAGACATTCGATCTTGGGGAGCGTTTCACCATTTACCTAAATGCATGTATACACATGAGTACGGTTGATTGAACGGTAGGAAAACTGATGTTACGGTTGATCGAACATTGAATTGGAAACATCAGTAATTCGATGAATTGCCAAGATTAGTAGGGTATCAACTGTAAAACGATGTTTACGGTTGATCGAACATTGAATTGCAAACATCAGTAGTAGGGTGGAATCCAACATGTAACGTATGGACATGACAAATTCGATGAATTGCCAAGATCAGTAGGGTATCGACAGTAAATTGATGTTACGGTTGATCGAAAATAAAATTGCAAACATCAGTAGTAGGGTGAAATCCAACGTGTATCATGTGGACATGGCAATTCCAATGAATTGCGAACATCAGTAGGGTGAATTTCAACAAAATTTAGAATTTCAATAGGGTGAAATTCAAGGGTGAAATTCAACGTGTGGACATGACAAATTCGATGAATTGCCAACATTAATAGGGTGAAATCCATATATGGACAAGAAATTAGGAATTTTTCACCGGTGAACTACACACATATACACACGTCAGTATTATTGATTTGACCATGTTTAGGGGTAAAATCCTATATGACATGTCTTAAGTTCGAATTCTAAGCATTCCCAAACACTATTTTATAAATGCTATTGCATTAAATTCATGATTTTTTTATTTTTTTTTTTCAAATATCTACATATTTGCAAACCTTGGTAAGTAGAAAAGGATGGATTACTATTTTCTAATTTTCTATTTCCTTTACAAAAAGGAATCCTACAACCAACTCATTTTCTACCAAACAAACAAACACACACCAGCATTAGTTAACAGACTTGGATTCAACCTCAAGCAATAACAGCTCCTCTTTCCCCATCTCATGTCGGCACCCACCTTCCCTTTCACCACTCCACACCAAACAAGAAAAAACTCAAAATCTCTCTAGTCAAATCCCACACTGAAAATCACAAGACCCCTAAAAAACTCAAGCTGATTGTGTGTATCTGTGTGTGTTTTTTTCTTCTTGTTCTTCATTTCGTTTTTCCCTTTGTTCTTGTGGGATTTCAACTTGGAACTCAGAAATTGAATTAAATTTTGCACCCCACAAGAAAAAATTCAGAAATGCAAGTCCAAGATCGCAACTTTCCGCCGGCGGATTCCCCCAAAACCCACAAGTCTCAATCCAGGGCCAAACCCTTTTCGATTCACTCCAAGAATCTCGATTTCTCCACATGGGCCTCCGAGAATCTGTACAAAATCCTGACGATTCTGCTCCTGATCGCCACCGTCGCCGCCCTCTTCTTCCTCCGGAACTACTCCACTGGCGGCGGGGACGCGGCGGCGCTGCTCTGCCTCCAGTCCGCCCAGTCGCACTCAGTCCACCCCAAGCTCCCTAAGGTAATTTGGAACTCGATCGACCGCATTGTTGATAAAACGACGCCGTATTCCAGCTTCCGATCAGAGAAATGGATCGTTGTCTCAATTTCGGATTATCCATCTGATGTTTTGAGAAAAATGACTAAGCTGAAAGGATGGCAAGTGCTCGCGATTGGGAATTCCAAGACTCCAAAAGACTGGAATTTGAAAGGTACAGCTTTATGTGCTAAATTCACAAGCGCCAGATTTTTCATTTCTCGGTTAGACATTTGCTGATTTTTAGTTAAGTTTTAGATTTTAGGATTAATGTTATCAGCTTATTTGTGTGTGGAGATCTTATGATCAGTTGAGCTGGCGGCCATGGCCAGAATTTGTGAATCAGTTTTATTTATGTAATCTCCAATTATGCTCTGTGATGGAAGATTTATTTGTTTATTTTCTTTTTCTATTTTTATCTTCGATAGGCGCTATATATCTATCCTTGGACGTGCAAGCTCAACTGGGATTTAGGGTAACAGACTACTTGCCTTACGATTCATATATCCGAAAAACCGTCGGCTATCTATTTGCTATTCAACACGGTGCGCAAAAAATCTACGACGTGGATGATCGAGGTGAAGTAATCGACGATGACATCAGCAAGCATTTTGATGTCGAGCTGATTGGCGAGAGTGCTCGACAGGAAGTCATTTTACAGTACAGCCATGAAAATCCCAATCGAACAGTCGTGAACCCATACATACATTTCGGGCAGAGGACCGTTTGGCCGAGAGGACTGCCGTTAGAAAATGTGGGTGAAATCGAGCACGAAGAGTTCTACACCGAGGTTTTCGGAGGCAAACAGTTCATCCAGCAAGGAATCTCGAACGGCTTGCCAGATGTCGACTCGGTTTTCTACTTCACCAGGAAAGCCAGTTTAGACTCGTTCGATATCAGATTTGACGATAATGCCCCTAAGGTCGCATTGCCTCAGGGAACAATGGTCCCGGTTAACTCATTCAACACGATTTTCCACTCTTCGGCATTTTGGGGTCTAATGCTGCCTGTCTCGGTTAGCACTATGGCTTCGGATATTTTGAGGGGTTATTGGGCTCAGAGGATTTTATGGGAAATCGGGGGGTATGTAGTGGTTTACCCTCCAACTGTTCATAGGCATGATAAAATCGAGGGGTACCCTTTTTCGGACGAAAAGGACCTTCACGTGAATGTTGGCCGGCTGATTAATTTCTTAGTCGAGTGGAGATCGAACGAGAAGCATCGACTGTTCGAGAAAATATTAGAATTAAGCCACGTTATGGCCGAAGAAGGGTTTTGGACTGAAAAAGATGTACTTTTTACGGCCGCTTGGCTTCAAGATTTGCTTGCTGTCGGTTATCAGCAGCCTCGTTTGATGTCTTTAGAATTGGATCGGCCGAGGGCTGCGATCGGGCACGGGGACCGAAAAGAGTTTGTGCCTCAAAAACTCCCGTCAGTTCATTTAGGTGTGGAGGAAATCGGGACCGTTAATTATGAGATTGGGGATTTGATAAGGTGGAGGAAGAATTTCGGTAATGTTGTGCTCGTGATGTTTTGTGGTGGGCCCGTCGAGCGAACGGCTCTGGAGTGGAGATTGTTGTACGGGAGGATATTCAAGACGGTTATTATGTTGTCCGAGGGGAAAAACGATGATCTCGTCGTGGAAGAAGGGCGGTTGGACTATATTTACAAGTATGACAAAATTCGTTTTTGTTTTCCTTTAATTCCTTTTTTCGCTTTCGAGTTTTGGGTGTGCTTTATTTTAGAATTAAGAACGCAAATTAAAAAGGGGTAGACCTAAGAAAACTTGGAGAAAACAATAAAAAATGATTTTGAAGTTTATAAATTTGAATGAGGATATGTGTTTTGATCGAGCACGATTTTGACGGCATTGATTTTTTTTTTTTCCGAAGTTTTTATTAGAAGTTCAGTCATAAAGGAGAGCAAAGTGAGTCTCAAAGAACTTTTCGAAGCGAAGTTCAGTCATATAACTTCGGAGAGGCTCAATGTAATTGACCTTGGGTCCAATCTATCTTTTAGAGCTATGCTTTGGGCCGAGCCTATAACAAAAGGAAAGATGAGATAAAAGGGCAAACGGAAGACCCCGACCTTGCAGTTTGTGAGTTATATGAGATACCTTAGGCTTATTTCCAGCTATAGCTTGATTAGGTATTACAGGATCTGTGTCATTAGCATCACCGTTTAGCCTGACTAGATTTTGTTTATCAAGTGTCATACTCTCTTTCGAGCTATCTGCATGTTACAGCCTTAATCATTACATTCATCTGAACGAGGAAAAACACACTGAGATAGTTCCTAATGAACCGTGTTTTTTGTGCTAGTTATTGTCGTATTTGACTATTTTCAGTTCGCATATTTTTGATATAATCTCTCTTCATTAATTTCAGGTATTTGCCTAAATATTTTGAAAGATACACCAGTGCAGAAGGCTTTCTATTTCTAAAAGACGATACTGTCCTCAACTACTGGAACTTGCTCCATGCTGACAAATCTAAGCTCTGGATAACAAATAAGGTAAAAAAAAACTATTCGAGCTTTTCTATTAAACAGTAATCAACAGGTAACAACAAATATAATCTTTTTATGTTCATTTAATCCAAATCAAACCCATGATATTTAGTTGTGAAGATCATAAGAATTATGCTGCTGCTAAACATTAAAAAAATGTTGCGTTAAAGGTATCAAAATCTTGGATGAGCATTTCAACTGCCGGCAATGATTGGTTTGCCAAGCAAGCTGAGAATGTGAAGAAAGTAGTCTCTACAATGCCAGCTCATTTTCAAGTCAACTATAAAGAAAGCGTAAAAAAAGATCAACAAGAAAATCTCATAATGTGCAATTCGGAAGTTTTTTACATCCCTCGGCATTTGGCACCCGATTTTACTGACCTTGTTAGTCTAGTGGGAGAACTCGATATTCACCACAAGATCGCTATACCAATGTTCTTTTTGGCCATGGATTCGCCTCAGAATTTCGACGGGGTTTTTGATAAAATGAAATATAAGCAAAAGCTACAAAGTAATTCTAGCTCGTTTTATTCGGCTGATGTCCCAGCTGTTCACCCCTGGAATGTGTCTAGCGAGCAAGATTTTATAAAGCTTGTGAGATTAATGGCGGCAGGTGATCCTCTGTTGCTGGAGCTAGTTTGATGATTTATATAAAACATGAAGACAAGTTTGAGTCGTGAGGCCTCGAAGAGGTCGAATTGAATCGAGCAATGCGAACTGAAAACTTTTGATGTGTACTATTCTTTGGAGGAGAGTGAATTCCTTATGTAGAAAACTTTTTTTTTTTTTTTTCCTTTTATTTGCTTTTTCTTGTTAATCTTCTTGTGGGATTCTATCTTTTTTATTTTTATTATTTCCTGGTTGTAGATTTTGCACAGAGACAGATTGTGGAGAAGTAAGTTTTGTTTTTCTTTCACCTTTGGATACTGGAATTGAAGTAAATTTTGCATAATGCTAAAGATAATTTATTGTTTCTAAGGATAATACATTTGACCAAGCAAATTTGATGAGTGTGTTGTTAAGGCTTGTAAACGAGCCGAGCTTGAGCTTAGGGTGCTCAAGACTAGCCAAAAATCGAGCTCGAGCTCAACTCATTTATCACTATTAACGAGCTGCTTCAGCTTTAACGAGTCGAATTATAGAAAATTATATAAAAATTCTCTTTTTGAGCATTACAAAATCTTATTGAGCTGAGCCGAACTGGCTCGTTAGCCAAACGAGCTTTAAATGAGCTCAAGTTCAGCTCGATAAGGGCTCGAACTCGAGCCTGAGCCAAACTCGAGTTTTAACGAGCTAAGCTTGAGCTGAGTCAAGCCAGACTCATTTAACAGTATTCCCCAACTCGAGCTGAGCTCGAGCAATCTGTCGAGCATTTTGATTTCAATCGATCTCGATCCGAGCTCGAGCAATTGTCTTCTTTTGTCGAGTCGATTTCGAGCATCATCAATCGAGCTCGAGCAGGTAAAAAAAATCAATCTTGCTTGATAAGGTCAATACTCGATTCGACTTGACTCATTTGATACCTGACATTCATCCATGGAGTGAAATATAAATAAACAATTTTTGAAGAGGAGATTTTCTCTCTTTCTCATGAGCCTAACTACGTTACACACATTGGTCCGAACATCTTTCGTAGTCGTGTTTTACCTAGCCCACATATTTCATGCTGATTTAGGCCTATAACTTATTTCAATAGGCCCAATTTAAACTAGCAGGCTTATCCAGTGACAAACGTTGAGCTCATTACCCATTCATTCACATTAGCAACTTCTGAGGTTTCTTCGTGTGTTGGTTCAGAGTAGCCACCAATGGCATGTAGTTCAGGGACCTGCCAATCGGGTTGCTACCGGAACGAATATTCCGGCGGAGAAGACGATCAGAAGAAACATAAGGCGGCGGACAATGGGGTCGAGCCCAATCTTGCTTCCCCTCGCGGCGGCGATTTGAGTGTTCGCAGCATCTGCGTTAAATGCAAGGTTACCGAGGCCATGGTCTCTACGCACCCCGCGGTTGCTGGAGGCGGCGGTGGAGGAGACGGAGGAAGATACTGCGCCGATTGCTTCCGGAGTAATTTGTTCGGGAAGTTCAGGTTCGCCGTCACTTCGAATGCAATGATTTCGCCGTCCGATAAACTTCTCGTTGCATTCTCCGGCGGTTCTTCCTCTAGGTATGGCTGAGAGTATGTATTTTCTTTGATTAGTGGTATTTTGTAGTCTTCCAAATATTTTTTTTTTGACGAAACTGCTTTTGGAGGTAACCAGATGAGCAAGCTCACTGAGCTTGGAGCTGAACTAGAAAAGTGTATTTAAGTTGATTTATTAGAGTGCTTCAAATCAAGTTTATTCCTTGTTTTGCTTGTGAGAAATGGGTGCGTAAATTGCATGGGGAATATTTGATACCTGTGGTCTGTGTGAAGCTTGGTTTGGCTCATTTATCATCCTCAATTTTGCTCAGCTCGTTTCTTTTTGTGTTTGAATGAGAAATGAGATTGAAACTTTTGAACTTTGGACATGAATTGAGCTATGTTTCGATTCGGTAGCTCATTTACCTTTCCAGATCTATGAAATGGTTTTGTTCAATTGAATAAAAATGGGATCTTTACATTATAACTGTTTCAGGCCTCGTAGGTTGATGTTTCGAGTTTTATTATGTTTGTGGTTCAAGTGCATTATCTTAGTAGTTGTTACTGATGGAGTTTTGTTTATATGGTCCTTCAAATTTCATAAGGAATTATAATTATATTGATCTATTCTAGTTTGAGTTGCCGGTTAGTGGAAACAAAATAAGCATAATAATTTGCACCCAAGAATTTCTTAACTACGTTGTCTTTATCATTATTTGAAGATTTTTTTTTTTAATTTTATTTATTCAGGGTGGCTCTTCAATTTGTTCATGAGATGCAACAAAAAGCCCAAAAGAATTACGATGCAAGTAGGGAAAAAACATTGCCCGTATTTCAAGTCGGGGTCGCTTATATTGATGAAACTGCCATTTATCCAATACCTTCTAGTGATCACGAGAGATCCCTTGATGAGATGAGACTGGTTGTTTCAAATTTAGCTCCTCCAGAGAAACAGTTTTTGGTCGTCCCAACTGAAAGTATTTATAAACCTGATTTTAGTGCTGGGACTGGGAGAGATCGATTGACCAGTTTAATTTCTGCAGTAGATGATGTTACTGGAAAAGAAGATCTAGTAGAGCATCTCCGCATGCAATGTTTGCAAAAGGTTCGGCAATATATATAATCTTCAATACTTGCTTAATTAAACATCAAATGTGGGACGAGTGAAGTGTAACTGTAGAGTGTGATGTATATAAATTGCAGGCTGCTTTTGAAAATGGATACACCAAAATCATTCTGGGAACGTGCACATCCCGAATAGCTTGTCGTGTCCTTGAAGCAACTGTCAAGGTAGGTCACTAGACGCGCAAAATGAAACAATAAATAAACAAATAATCATATTTTCTTAGCTAGGTCAGCATCAAAATTTAAATTTGTTTATTACATTTGTTTTCCAGGGCCAAGGTTTCTCATTAGCTGCAGATATACAGTATGTCGATGCCAGGTGGAAAGTACCAGTGATGCTTCCACTTCGTGACTGTCTATCTGAAGAACTGAATATGTTATGCACTCTAGACAGGTTCTTTCATGACATGGCATGAGATCTTCCCTTGATAGCGGATGATTTAATTTGATTTTGTACAAATTCTATTTGTATATAATTTCCCTTGGTAATGAAATCATTGCTTTATAACGGGCGTCTTCTTTTCTGCAATGGCAGTTTGAAGACTTTAGATGCATTCAAGCGACCTCATTCTGGCATCAACGGCTTAATATCCTCATTTGTTAAATTATTGAAGGTAAACTTTCTAAAGGAAAATGATTTTACCGATTGGTAGTGGGCCATCTTGCCAAATATCACGTCTGTCAATATTATATAGTCGATTCCAAACGAGAGTTACATAGATGCCTTCTCCATCAGTATGATTTATCTTGATAAATGCTGGGAAATGTATACTTAACCCATTCTTATGCTCTCGAATGGCATCTCATCATTACATGTTCTTTTCTATCTATGCAGTGATTTCCTTGAATTCATTTCTAGCTTATTCATTCTGAATACGTGCTGTCTCAAATAAATTTTTATGCCCTCGATTTCTTCTACAGGAGGAAAATCCGTCTCGAGAAAGCACAATTGTACGAACTGCAGGGAAGCTCACACCGTTTTGTTTTAACAGAACACCGGAAAATAATGATGAAGATACTCAGTTGGCTTCTAAGAGGAGGCAGAAGAAATACAACTTGAAGCCTTACAGCGAATCATTGATCCAAGAATCGTTTTGTGTTGTTTGCAAAAGCCCACTAAAGGAACCCAACAGCTCGAGTCTTAACAGCTTTGACAATCGGGAAAAAAGTGCGAAAATCCACTCGGATGCTTGCTCAAGTTGCCAGTTCCAGATTCTTCCAAAGGATACTTCATCTCTCGAGTACTTCTTATCTCTGCTTCCAATGTCAATAGCAGTAAACCTTTCTAAGGATAATCGAGACAGCCACGAGTTGCTTAGGTAACTAACACATCTTATTACCCAGTTTTTGTAAGGTTGTTTTGAAACCCCCTCAGTTCAAATTTTAAAAAATGAAAAAATAAAAAAATAAAAATAAAAATAAAATAGACTTCTGTGAAACCTCATTTGCAATTTGGAAAATAGTAAAATACCCATCTTTCTTTGAAGATAGTTAATCCTTTTATCCCCCTTTTTGGGTAATTTGAATCAGTATGTCCAATATTTTTTGAATCTTCTGTTTCTTTTTGGTTCGCCAGGGACCAAATACAAGATTGTTTGTTGTCGGATAGTGATGACGAGACTTAAATGAGATGTTCTTTCCTCAGTCTCCCTCGTCAATAGGGCCTTATTCATTATTTCAATATGCCATACTTCAGATTAGCCTTGCGCTGCTCCATAGTTATTGCCCGAGTAAAGAGTCGAAGGCAACTTTCATGCATTGCAATAACATCTTCAATCGATAACTTGTCCGAAACTCAGAATGGAAAGTTAAAAATGGAGCCAACTGGGTAAACCAGTAATAGATGCAAATGATGGTTGCCTGGTTGATGAATTTGTTTTCTTTGCTCTGCAAATGTGAAACAGTGAATTTACGTAATCATTGTTGTTTTGTTTTTTGCTTTTTCTTTGGTTCTGTTGTAAAGATGAGGCTACAATTCTTAAGAATTATCAAAAAAGATGGATTCATACGGTCAAATGAATAGAATGTTATGCCAATCACATGAATTATTGTATTATTGTGCTATTGTTCCGTGTTTGCTTCATTATTGTATTATTATCGTATTTCTATTTTTTTAATCATAAATACAATAACAAGTCAAATTTTAACTAATTTTTCCATTTCTTCGTATCATTTGTTTCTGCAATCGTATTTTGAAATCGTGTCGTGTTTCATGTCTCATCCTTAAAATGGGCTCTACTCTTCAAGATCATAATCAGGCTTTAAATAAGCCCAACAAATAAAGGCCCTCTGAAGAAGGCCCATTTTAATCTTTTGGTACCACAATTATCAAAGAAGGCCCACAAATCTCCTAGAGAAAAAAGAGCAACATATCAAAAGACCCATAACAGCGCTCAGCAAGCCCAATGGACTCTCCGGAGAGACCTGACGCCACCACCTCCTCCTCCAGCGACCGCCCCAAAGGGCGACGGAGCACGTGCGCCACCGGATGCGGCCGCCCCACAAGCGTGTGCCTCTGCCAAACCCTTCCTCCAGCTCCGCTGCCCACGGCCACCAAAATCGTCATCCTCCACCACCCGCACGAGCGCCGCCACAAGCTCGCCACCGTCCCCGTCCTCCCCAAATGCCTAATCAACTGCGAAATCATCATCGGACGTAAGCTGAAGTACGGCCAGTCGAAGCTTCTGGATTCGCTCTACGACCGAGTCTGTGAGAGCCCGAAATCGCCTCTCGCCCGAGCATTTTATCTCTTTCCTGGTATGATAGAGACAATATAATGTGAAAAAGACTTATTTTTTATAAAATTTAAGGGAAAAAATGTGAATCTGGGTTGTTGGGTTTATCAAAACTGGTTGAAGATTGGAAATTAAAAATGTTCTTTCTTTTCTGGGAAATTTAGCATCAATGGGTGTTTTAGCCTTTTACGAGCTAGTATTATGCTCGACATCAATAGTTGTGTAAATTCAGATAAAGTTCTGATTTCGAAGCAAGAGAATGACTATGCGAATGAGGTAAAGAGACCAAATTGGTATATATCTTGCAAGAAACTTCTGTTTTCAAGAAGCTTTACCATTTATGAGAGAATGTGCAAAAGGATTTTACTAGGAAGTTATGCAGCTGGTTCTTGTTGATGATAAGCTAACCCGTGGCATTCGTATATAACATCTTTCTTGTATTGATGATAACATTCACTTAGGTCCAAATGCTATGCCGCTCACTGAAATAAGTCACACAAATGCTGACAAGGATAATCTCGTTCTAATCGTTTTTGACGGGACTTGGAAGCACGCCAAAGAAATGGTACTCGCGAGTCTATCTTTTGTATCCAAGTTTGCGATTCAAGTTTGTTTAGATTTTGATGTTAGGGTTGATGGTGGGACTATCTATGACTCGGATTTGATTCTGAGGAAAGAACCCTTTGCTGGGTGCATGAGCACAATCGAGGCTGTTGCTAGGTGTTTAGGGGTCCTTGAGCATGATGGTGTTGAAATTGAGTCGAAGATAATTGAGGTTTTAAGGGCAATGGTTAGTTTTCAGGCCGGCTTCTTGAAATCTGTGAGGCAAAGACCCAAATTAGTGAAACAATCGTAAAGAGAAAAAATGATTGCCTTGACTCTGTCTGTTAGTTATATTTGAAATCGTGATTTGCTGTTTTATTCTAGCTCGGATCGCCTGTTTAATCCACCTATATTTGAAATTTCTTTTGGTGTTTTTTCTAGAAAATTTGATTTGAAACACACACACACACACACACAAAGCATGGAACTTGTTGTACAGTTGGATCTACTTTCTCTCTCTCTCTCTCACGCACGCACACACACACACACACACAACAAGAATGGGATAGTTATGTTTGTTGCAAGATAGAATGAATGATCTTAATTTGAGCCCTTTTGAGTTCTGAACTCCATCGATCATTAAAAACCGATGTTCTTTAATCAATAATCGAAAATGTATTTTGCAATTTACTTTCTGCCTTTCGTTTCCTATCTTTCTAAGGTTTTAACTTTTAACTCCAATGCTTGTGTCATACTTATTTCTTTCTTTTTTACGCATGATTGGCCTATCAAGTGCAGTCATAAGCAATCTAATTTACCGGCTAAATCTTTTGTGTGGGGTTATGTTATGTGTTGTGATTGATTTACACAATTCATGTTTCCTTATTGGAATTGAGGGCCTGTATTTGAATGTCAGGCTGTTCTTGTGGGGAGGGCCTCTTGTGCTTTACCCTTTTTTCTTTTATCCCATGATAAGTTGTTTGGTTTCTAATTTGGCCTCCATATACTCTTCGTCATTGTTAATTTATCCGTATTTGTCATGTCTCGGTTGATAAACGAACGGGAAGCTCAAAGCCGAGCAGTAATAGTAGTGCTTGCAAAATGATTATAAGTTATTCATGTTGTGTTTATGGGAATAGATAGTTTTGGAGTACTATGTAAGGTGAAATTAGTTGTCGAATTTGCCCGAGTTTGTTTGATTTCTTCTTTTTTTCGAAACAACGGAAGATTTTATTCATCTAGAAATCGGGTTATTTATAATAATCGGCAGGCTAACTAGCCCAAAATACAGCGAATCTGCACAAAGACCACGAACTCATGGCCTAGAATAAATAAAAGCATGGCGATTGACTCGCCTAACGGTTTTCACACAAACAAAAATGTGAAAAATCTTATTATTAGTAGTATTAGCAAGACAACTATTAAGCAAATTTCATGGTTAGTCAGTCATTTGGAAACAAATTTTTTGTTTCAATTTTATATTATTTTGTTTGATGATTGACATGTGTATATTGTGATGTCATCATGGATATGATGTCATTCTTACTACTGAATGAAATGTAATTATGGAATAGGAGATCTCATCGCATCATACTTAATGCATACTTTCAAATTAAGATATTATATTTGAAAAAAAAAACATAAATAAAAGTATGATATAAAATAACATAAGTATCAATTTTGTCAAAAAAGTATGATGAGATGACTCGAATGGTTAGACAGCTTCATACATTAATTTATGACCAAGTTTTCTTGTTGGTTGTCTTTAAAATGTCATTTATCAGTCAGTCCAACTTAAACTAGCAGGCCCCGTTTTCTAAAGTCACCTAGCAAACCTTATTTTATTGATTTTCGTGGGTTACTATCAAACTTTGGTCCACAAACCTTATTCTATTGATTTTCGTGGGTTTCTAAAGTCATAAAAATATGTTTTTAATTTAAAATGTTAACTTGGTTCAACGGGAAAGAAAAAGTTCTTGGACTATGGATAAAAATGTTTAATGTATGCTACTAAGGTCAATTTATAGATAGAATTTGTCATTTTTCAAGATCAAAAGTAGGGAAGTTAATAATTTCTTTACCGTTTAAGTCTGTATTGTTATTTGAAAAATATCACTGAGTTAATATGCCAACATTTGAGTTTGTTATATTATGCGGAAAATATCATGATTACGAGTAAATTATGGGCAATGGAACAAATAGAGTGGATGGTACGTTTTTAGGTGCCAATTATCATAATTCACGAGTATAAGCAAAGTTTTTAGTCAGTTTAGTGGTAAGGACAATGGCTTGAAAAAGAAAATGAAATTGTATTTATATAATATCAGTCAATAACAAGTTTGGATATTTTATTTTCAGAACAACAAATTTATTAAGTGTATTTGACAATCTAATAAAAACAATTAAAATTCCAAATCTTAATTTTAAGATTCTTGTGTCAAAATTATCATGATACATATGAACGTACACTGTAAGTTAATATATACAATACACATATTATCCCTCAACACATGCATGCACACAATCCATTGATAATAAGAAAAATATAATTCCCAAGCCATGCCACAATAGATTAGCAGTTAAGATATTTGTGTATATGTGTATCATCCAATAATAATAATAATAATAATAATAATAACAATAATAATCATATATATAATAATAATAATAATAATACACATCACCATCCCTGACCAGGTTTATTTGGAATTTTCCCATAATTAATTTGAACAAACATTATATCGGATCAGACAACCAATGCAAGTGAGCATACCCAATTTCGTCCTCCCTTCATTATTTTTCTTTTCAAAAACAAAAAACATGATGAGTAAATTGAATAATTAAAATTCAAGGAATTAACTGCACAAAAGCCAAAGAAAATATAACTAACAACATGATAAAGAATAATGAAAGGAAGGCCTACACGACTTTATGGGTAGACCTGAAGTGATCCACTTATATGCTTGGTTCGACTCAACTCATTAAGGTTCGAATTCGATTCAATTCGTTCTTATATAGCTATATGTTTAGTCAACGAGCCGAGTAAACACCTCATTTATGAATTATTACATTAATTGATCGACTCACTAATAAAACTCATTTTTTGGCTCGTTAATTTTGATAAGTAAATTAAAGGTAAACTCGTTTATCGATTTAATTAATTGACAAGTTGAGCTCGGCTCAACTCAACATGATACATGCTCGATATCAAGAGCTCGAGCACGTCAACCAATCGAATCATTAAACGATTTGAACTCAATTTGAGGTGAAGAGTTTGAATCTTGTAATTGTGGTAAAATATTTTTACTTCCTCCCTCAATCATATTCCCATTCATAATTTCACTCACCTTTTTCTCAATCTTGTCTCCCTAAAATTATCTATCTTTATCTGTCTATACATACAACTTCCTGTATATATACAGTATCCCCATCATATTTCTGGTATATACTTGTCTGAAAAACAAAATGTACAGAATTTCTGCTATAAATTTCAAAATCCCCAAAAGGTAAACAGTGAAAAATAAATTAGAATGTTCTTTTCAAAATATATAGAGGTTAAAAAAATCAAATCTTTTCACGTTCCATTACACATATTGCAGCAATTATTCATTTTCCTTTACTTTTTTTTCCCATCTTCTTCAATTAATATTTTTCTCTCTCTTCGTGTGTCTACTTTTGTTCCTATGCCAGCTCTGCATGCTCCTTTCTCATCCCAATAAACATTTTTCTCCTTTTTTCCTATATTTTCGCTCTGAAGAAACTTCCCCTTTTTTATCAAGATTTTTCGAGAAAGAGAGAATTGAAGAGATCCCTTTTGTTGATTGGGTTAGTAGGCGACGATTGCCCTTTTAGATAATTTTTTCTTGTGTTTTGATTTGGTGTCCGTTGATTGCATTTGTTCTGTTTCTGTTGTGACTTACGTGGTTTTGTATATTTTTTCCGCGTTGATCTGAGGTGCTATTGGTTATTTGGGAGGTTTTATCTGTTAAATTTGGTTGGGAATCGTTGATTATTGAGGAAAGAGGAGTTAATTATCTGCAATGATTTCACCAATGCCTGAATAATCAGCTATTGATCTATTGGTTACTTGAATTAGATTTTTTTTTCTTGTCTTTTGGAGTTGAAATGTATGAAAGTTTCTTTTTTGTTCGAGCTTTAAAGATTTTTTATGATCTTTTGATTCTGGAACGAAATTGAAATGAATTTAGGCATAAGTGGACCTTAAAGTTTGTAGGTTTATATATATCTAGATACTAGAAAATTGTAGGAGCTTAACTGTTTTTGGAGGATTTTGTATAAAGTCTCAAACTTTGGATCCTGAAGTTTGTTAATCAGCTTAGTTTTTTAATACTTAGCTCTAGAAAGTTTGGTAATGCTTTGTTTAGTTGGTAAAATCACCTTCTTGGTCGTTTGATGACATCGTCTGTGTTTGCTCTGCGTGTGAGAAGCTTTCATATAAGGGTAGATGTGGATAACATCTGCAAGATTTTGTTTTTCCAGTTCCGGAAGATGTCAAATCATTCTATGAAGACTGGAAAGTAGAAATGTGTGTGCAGAAAAAGCTAGGTTTGGCTTCTTTTGAGTATAGATGGCTTGCACATGCACACACCAAGAAAAAATAAAAGAAAAAATCGAATCTTGATTGGATTTTTGTATGTTGGAATGACATGCGGAGATACTCATGCCTGCCACATTGATTTGGCTTCTATCTGTTTGTCCTACAAGAAGAAAACATGAAAACATGTTGAGTTAATACTTAACATGCATACTAGGCGTAGCTTTCCTGCAAGATCACAGATCAAGTATGTCAGACAACTGTTAAGCTAAGGGAATTAGGCCAGATGATGATTTGTTCCATTTTCTCTTTATTCTTGTAAGTGAGGTGTTTGGTAAACATATATGTTAGCTTATAGCTTATTTGATTAGATATAAGCTTCTTGTATTTAAATAAGCTTGGTTTGGTAGGACGAGTTTTTTTTTTTTTTTAAAATCTCGAGCTTATCTCATAAGCTTCCTTGGGTATCTTTTCAAAGAAGCCCATTTTATTTTAGCTAGCTTGTTAGCTAATTTAGCAAACACTTTTATCATATAAGCTAGTTTTTCAGTCATAAGTCGTAAGCTATGAGCCATAAGTTCAAAATTCACTTAAATGCTATAAGCTAGCTTATTAGCTAGGTTTACCAAACATAGCCTTAGTCTTGTAGAAAGTCTTACCTTTAGTGACATAAAGTACGGAACTGTTATTCTCCTAATTAGAAGCATGTTATTATGAAACTGCTAGTGGCAGATTTTATTTTTATATTCCTGGAGTTAGTTACTGAAGTATTATATCAAAGAAATTAACTAACTGGTAGTCAATGCTACTACAAAGATCCAGCCATATTGTCATATAATTGTAGTTGAATACTTGAATAGATGCAGAATAAGTTGTTCCAGGTTTTATTGCCGTACTATAAGCAAATGGGTGTTATTCCGTATAATCTACGTGCAATTTTAATGTTCTATTTTTTCGTTGCTGCATGGATTTAATGATTGCTGTTGTTCTAACGTAAGAATTCAGATTCTTGATTTCTTGATTGTCACTTCTTTCAATACCTTTTACTCACATTTTTTTTTTACTGGTTTTCTTCAGCAAGTCGGTTCACATTGTCAATAGAAGCTTGAAAATCTAGAAGGTTATCGTACGATGTCTACCTCAGCAAAAGCTCTAGAACCTGCTTTTCAGGGAGCGGGTCAGAAAGTGTATCCTCAGCATGAATTTATATGTTTAGTTGATGACTTTTATTCTTTT